GGGCTGGGGATTCGAACCCGCCACCTTAGGAGTATGTGGCTGGCGCCTTAGCCGCTTGAGCCACAGGCGCTGAGCCCTTTTCACTTTTTCAAAGCTGAAAAGTCACAGCCTGCGCCAGGGTCAAGGGCGCTGAGACACACTTACCTTTAGCCTTCTGTCCTGTGGCTTCACAGCAGAAATGGAAGCTTTCCTTCCTGAACTGGCCCCTTTAAAATGCCTGGATTCTCCTGTTCCACAAGGCCTGCTTAAAGCTTCTGCACACACTGAACACACTGAACAAAGCCCTGCAGGGGACACAGTGAAGAGGAAAACTTTCAGGGAGCTGACAGTGTTCAGGGCCCGAGTGTTCACCTGAAAGAGCCAGCTCTGGTCCACACTGTCACCAGCACCAGCCAGGGCTCAACTGGGCTCACCCAGACGAGAGTCACACAGGTAGGGAAGGCTGCAAAGCCCAAACTGCTGAGCCACAGAGTATTTTGGTTATCACCGGCATAGCAAATCACCCTTGAACTTAGTGGCTTCAAACAGTAAGTCTTTGGATCATCTCTCATGCTAGCAATGACTTGGGCAGCAGGGTAGTCTGTTTAGAAATGTGTTACTCCCATGATTGGTAGAGACTGAAAAATAGAGACACACCCCCAACTGGATTTCAAGATGAAAAAGAATGACACAACTCAGAATTGGTGAAGGGGAGAGAGCTACTTCTAGAGGTCAGGTAGACCTAGAAGATGACCCAGCAGGTACTTGTAGGAATTTATCCTGGAAATATTCTGAGGGCTGTGTAAACACACATCAGAGTTTGCTGTATATACTTGCAAAATAATGTAAACAACTAAGTAACTATCAGTAAGAAAATCAGATAAAAAAGGACACATCCACCTACAATACTCAGCAACTGAAAAAGAACAAGCTTACTTTGTGTCAATAAGTCTGATGTCTTATTGGTGAGTTACAATGTATCTTTAAAATGACTCTTCAAAAGCAACACACCAGGCTCCACATACACCAGAGGTGGCAGGATCCCGCCTGCCAGACAACAATGACAACTACAACCAAAAAATACCCAGCTGAGGCAAGAGAATCGCTTGAGCTCAGGAGTTGGAGGTTGCTGTGAGCTATGACGCCACTGCACTCTACCCAGGGTGACACAGTGAGACTCTGTCTCAAAAAAAAAAAAAAAAAAAAAGGTGGCGCGGCGCCTGTGGCTACGGCGCCAGCCACATACACCTAAGGTGATGGGTTCGAATCCAGCCCAGGCCCGCCAAAAACAATAATGACGGCTGCAACCAAAAAATAGCTGGGTGTTGTGGCAGGTGCCTGTGGTCCCAGTTACTTGGGAGACTGAGGCAGGAGACTCGCTTGAGCCTAGAAGTTGGAGGTTGCTGTGAGCTGTGATGCCACAGCACTCTACCCAGGGCAACAGCTTGAGGCTCTGTCTCAAAAAAAAAAAAAAAAAGAAAGAAAGAAAGAAAAAGCAACATACCAAAACTTTAACCAGCATTGGAAATGCAGGTGTTTTTCCCTTTATTTTCCCCTAATTTTTCTAGTATAAATGCACTTATAAAATAATTATTAAAACAGTAACAAAAAGCTTTTTAGGCAGCTCTTAGAGTCTTAAGAGTCAGACTTAAGGGGGGTGGCTTTAATGAGAGTGTGTGCCCCACCCTACCCCAATACCCAAGGCATAGGGAGGCCAGCGTTTGGGGTGAACTTTGGGTTTATTTGCAGGTGTTTCCACTCATTGCCCCCCCCAAATCTGTGTGGTCACTCAGCTCTCATGTGTGACTGGCAAAGCTTCATTTGCTAAATTCAAGGACTGCTTCCTTTACCCTGTGACTCCTTCAAGGTCCTGGAGCTGGAGAGCTCTGGCCTAGGCAGGGGGCCAGCCTGGTTCACCTTAACAGAGTCAAGGATCCCTGCTGGGAAGTGGCAGTTTCTGAGGCCTCTAGAAACAGCCATGATCCCCAGGTGGAAGTAAATGCCCAGAGACCCTGATCATAAAAGGTAAATTTGGGGTTTGACAGAAGCTACAGGGCTTCTGCTTTCAAGTCACAGAATACATGCTCACTGGCTCGGCACCGTAGCTCACTGAGTAGGGTGCCAGCCACATACACAGAGGCTGATGGGTTCAAACCCAGCTGGGGCCATCTAAACAATGAAGACGGCAACCAAAAAATAGCTGGGCGTTTGTGGTGGGCATCTGTAGTCCCAGCTACTTGGGAGGCTGAGGCCAGAGAATTGCTTAAGCCCAAGAGTTTGAGGTTGCTATGAACTGTGATACCAGGGCACTCTACCCAGGGCAACACAGTGAAACTCTACCTAAAAAGAAAAAAAATGCTCACTGAAACACAAGTTTAAAAGTCAAAAGTGGCTCGGCGCCTGTGGCTTAAGTGGCTAAGGCACCAGCCACATACACCTAAGGTGGGGGGTTCAAATCCAGCCTGGGCCCGCCAAACAACAATGACAGCTAGCCAGGAAAAATAGCCAGGTGTGGTGGCAGGCGCCTGTGGTCCCAGTTACTTGGGAGGCTGAGGCAGGAGACTCGCTTGAGCCCAGGAGTTGGAGTTTACTATGAGCTGTGATTTCACAGCACTCTACCCAGGGGGACAGCTTGAGGGTCTGTCTCAAAAAAAAAAAAAAAGTCAAAAGTGAAAAAGGCCCTTCTCTCCTAACTCCTATCCATCCCCAGGAGTCATTAAATTTTGATGTAAATTCTTCCAGACTGTTCCACAAGTTATTATACAATATATACCCACTCTCCCTCTTTCAATTTCTTTTCAAAAATTTGTTCAAATCCAACTTGGTTTGCAACACACCTTGTTCACAGCTATTATGTAGATCTACTACATAAATCTACCGCTGGCTTTCTTTTTTTTATTAAAGCAGCAGGTGCACAGGAAGATTCTGTTAGAAATATCCCAAGTGGGTCAGCGCCTATAGCTCAACCGGCTAAGGCGCCAGCCACGTACACCTAAGGTGGCGGGTTCGAATCCCCAGCCCAGACCGCCAAACAACAATGACGGCTGCTGCAACCAAAAAATAGCCGGGCGTTGTGGCGGGCGCCTGTAGTCCCAGCTACTTGGGAGGCTGAGGCAGGAGACTCGCTTGAGCCCAGGAGTTGGAGGTTGCTGTGAGCTTTAATGCCACGGCACTCTACCCAGGGGGACAGCTTGAGGCTCTGTCTCAAAAAAAAAAAAAAGAAAAGAAATATCCCAAGAATTAATAGTGCTTGACTGTTTGAGTTTTCACCTTGCCAACCATCCTGGTTTTTCAAGAGAAGGTTATCATGCAGGTAGAATGACGTACAAACCTGCCAGCCTCCATCCCTCCTTCCTCTGGGCAGAAAGTCATCGTCGCAAAGAGCAAACTTACAATCAAAAGAAACCAGGAGGCCCTGTGTAATTCCTGCTCTCTGGTCAACCCTGATCCTCAGAGTGCGGTCCTGGGAGGCTGAGAACTCCCTTGTAGGCCCTTGCCGCACTTTCCACTACGCATCAAGGCCCGCACCCTGACACGGTCCTAGTAAAGCAATTCAGCTTCTCATCCCTGCTCCCAGCTTCTGGGCAAGAAGAGAGGGCTGCTCGGTAACTTCCTCAGTCAAAATTCCATCTGGGAGCCTGGAGATCACCCACCTGCCGCTAGGGCTCCGCGGCCCACCGCAGGGGAGCTCCAAGCACGCAGGGTCAGAGCGCCCCCAAGGGCCGCCTCGGGGTGAGCCTACGGGCGCCCCTGTACCTCCGGCCCTGCCTCAGCTGAGCACCAGCTACGCATCTAAGAGTAGGACCCTCTCCACCTGCGCGCGCTCCCTCCTCACCTGAGCACGGCCTCCTGCCCAAAGCGAACGCACCCCTTCCTACGCCCACCCCGACTCCGGCCCCTCACCTGCGCACGCGCCCCCTGTCCACCTGAGCACGGATTCGCCACCTCTCCTAGGAGCCCCCACCTCACCTGGACGCCCCTACCTGCATCGGTCTCACTGTGAGCCGCGCTGCGTTCCTCAGAGACCAGCGTCCAGCTCCAGCCCCAGTCCCCGCCGCTGGGGGCCTCCCGCAGTCCCGCCTCCGGTCTGACGTGCTGCGATCGACGACCAATCGCAAGAGGGTCTTGAGCGGGCCGCAGCCCTGCGCGCCGCGATTGGCCGAGGCGCCTGAGCTGACTCCCGGCCCACCTCCCGCGCCACTCGGCGGCGAGCAGAGGAAGATTGACTTCCTGGTCAGCCCCGCCTTCTCGCCTTCCAGACTTCTGGGGCCAGCCGGATCTCACCTGCACCACCGCGGAATCTCAAAGGCCCACGACTGAGCTAGCTTGCTGGGTCTGGAGAGAGTGAGGGCCGAGAACACCCGAGACGGGCTGGGATTGGGTGACAGGCCCCGTAGGCCACGCTGCGGACGCGCCTCGCTGACCCACAGACCTGGAGGGCGTGGGCCTCCTGGTGCCTCAGTTTCCTCCTCGCCCATGGCGCTTCAAGGGCACGCGACACACATTTATTGAGCATGGAGAGTGTGTCCAAGTGCTGTTCTAGGCCCTAGGGGCACAGCGATGAACACAACGGATAAAATGCCTGCTCTTGGGGCTCATCTTAGGGAAGGGGATCCTCAGTAAACACTTGAGTAAACAGGGTGGCCTACGGGGCCTGTCACTCTCCATGCACTCAATCAGGGAACCACACCATGCATTTAGGTTATGAATTTTTTCTTTTTGGTCTCCAATTTGTTGTGTGTTGAGGCTGTCATGACAGGAGGCAGCGCAATGTCACTGCGTCCTATTGTTGATAAGTTTGATCATAGTCGGGGTTTCTGCCAGAAGTCTCCATTTTTCCAGTTGTTCATGAGTGATTTTTAGGATAAGATACCGTGAGACTGTGTAAGTATGATATTCTCAAGAATCTGATTTCATCGTTCCTTCAGCATTTGTTAATAAAGTATTATTTATCAGACAGCCTTCTAAAGAATTTATTTTTATCAATATGGACTAATGGATGTTTTTTAACTCATGGAGTTCTGATCCTGTACTGTGTTGTCCCATAGTTGGGCAGTGGGAGCCCCTTCAAACTGGCCCCTTTGTTCAAATAGCATGTCCCCATCATTTTCTGAGAATGTACTTATTTTCTGGGATGACCAGATCTTCCAGGATACTCACATTCTCTGCCCTATGGTCGTGGTGATACTCAGTAAGGAGGTATGTAGCACTTTTTCTAGGTTAGGCTCCCGAACTTGATTGTTAGACCTCTTATAATGTTCTTATGCTTTTCTGGAGTTTCCAAATTGTGTGTCATGAACAAGAATTACTTTCTACACAGGAAAAAAGTGATTAAAATGTGAAAACAAGTATATGTATGACAGGGATACCACACATATCCTAGCAGGATGGTGAGACAGCTCCTTGTTCACACGGTAACATGGGTTCTCACCCCAGGTGGACTTAAGATGAAACTTGAAAAAGAAAAACTGAGAAGCTGACGGTAGAGAATTGGCTCACGTGCCTGGAGAAGAGATTTGGCAGTGTTTAGTAAAGCTGGACAGGTGCACACCCTAGTACTCAGCAAGGCTGCTGGAGAAATTGGCCTCCAAGGAGAACCCTGTAGGAATGGAAACAGCAGCGCTGTGGGCCCCTCGGCGCTCGCCTGTGCTTGCCTGTTGACAAAACACTAATAACTTCAATGCCCATCGGTTACTGAATGGATAAACTGTACTTAATTCCTACAGTGAAATAGCAAACTTCAGAATAATAATCTCGTACCACAGAAGAAGACAATCAAGTTACAGCAGCACACCAGAGTGAGGGGATTTATTTGGCCCTAGGGATAATTAATTGCTGTCTGTGGCGGCCAGGCAGATAGGGCAGGAACGCTCTTTGTCCTACACGTTTGTTCTTTGGTGTACTTGGAAGCTTTAAAAGCGCATGAAAATAAAACGTAGCTAAGCTGGTTGTAAGGAGAGGACATAGAATAAAATGAAAGGATGGCCGGGCCGCCTCCTACCTCTGCGCGCTTTGAAGCTTTAATGTCCGTGGGCGGGGCCGGTCTCGCCTTCACTAGTGGCTGGGCGGCCTCCTTGTTGCGCAGGCGCAGCCGTGATCCGGCCGCTTCTCCGAAAGAGTGGGCGAGAAGAAGGAGGGGCTATCCGCGGGGGGCGGGGCCTGCCTCTGCCGCTGAGGGGCTTTGCATTCCAGTTCCTGCGGGCTTCGCCTGGTGGGCGGGACAAGGGCCGGGCGATCCTTGGATGGGCGGGGCTATCTGCGAGCGGGGCGGGGCGAGAGCCCAGCTACCCGGAAGGTCGGGCGCCGGGCTGCTCACCTAGCATAGAGGATAGCAGTGAGTACTGTCGTCTGGCTTTCCTCCTTTCCTGGAGGCTGCGGCCAGGATGGGACGGAAGGTGACCGTGGCCACCTGTGCGCTCAACCAGTGGGCTCTGGACTTCGACGGCAATTTGCAAAGGATTTTAAAGAGTGAGTCTGGGGGCGGGGGCTGGCAAACGTCCGCTCTGGCCTGGCAGTGGCTTGCCGATGTCGGGCATACAGCCTTGATTAGAGAAACTCGCCGCCGTGGGCATGGGGACGGAAAAGATAATGAATAATGACCACACCGTGGTAAGTGCTCCGATGCTCCTTGGAATGCAGGCAGGGGTATCTACAGTTTCTGGGGACATGTGATATATAAGTCAGGGGTCGAAAAGGTCTGGAGGTGGAGGTGGGAGCGCTGAGGGTGAGCCTGTCGTCAGATATGTCTGGCATCCCACATGGCATAGCTGGGGCTGAACTGGCAGCCTTGGAGGTGTTTGGACTGGGTGGCTGACCACTAGGCTGACCACTGGGGAGGGTTTCCAGTTTCTGAGGGCCTTGCTGGTGGGTGGGCATAGGAAGAAGCCATCCCAAAAAGGGTAGTATAAGGCAGAGGGTAGTATAAGGTACAATAAGGCAGAGCTGCCAGCTTAGAGAATAAAGTGTGATTGTTGAGAAATCACCATTTTATTATGGTTCATATCAACTCACCTTGGAAAGTAAAGGTCAGACTATTATACCTAAACTGGGGCCACCATTGACAAACCTGCAGGTGTGGTCACCCCAGAACATCTTGTATGGGCTGCTTACTGTGAGAGTGTTTGCCAGCAGCAGTAAACACAGAATGTCTCCAGTGGTGGCATCTTATCCGCCATGTGTCTTGGACCTTCATCTTTTCTTTTTTTAAATATCAACCCACTTTCATCTCATCAGAGTTCAGAGCAAATCCAGTTGGTGTGAAGTGAGGCTTGGTGTCCAGAGCTAAGTCTCCACTCAGCTGGCTTCTCCTCTTTAGACCGCATGTCGGAAGCTGCCGCCCAAACCCAGTTAGTTGATGGTACCTGACACTGGTACTGCTGCAGGGTTATAAGCCTGCAAACTCCACCTTTTTCTGTAGATGACCTTGGGCATCTACTTGTTAATAAACTACCAGGGTGTGAATTTTTTCCCTTCCTCCTCCTCCTCCTCCTCCTCCTCCTCCTCCTCCCTGGTGCTAAGGGTCAGACCTGCGAGCCCTCCCTGTTTCTCATTCCCTGCGGGCGTGAGCAGCTGTGCACAGGTGTGCGCTGTCCTCTGCTGCCAGGCTACCAAGAAGGGCTGCATCGGGTCACAGGGCGTTTGGGTTTGGTTTTATCATACCTGCTGCAACAATGTGTTTCACCTGCCTGTGAACATATTGTAGGTGCTTGAAATTGCCCCCACCTTCTGTATTTCTACATATAGGTATTGAAATTGCCAAAAGCAAAGGAGCAAGATACAGGCTTGGACCAGAGTTGGAAATATGGTGAGAACAGACACACAAACACGCTGGGGTGGGTGGGTAGCAGTGAACTGCATTGTTTCTTACAGTAGTGCTTCTGACTCTGGCTGTCCAATATAATCGGAGGCTTCAGAAAAATACCAATCCCTGGGCCCTGGTTTTTGACTTGACTGGCCCACAGCCCTCACCCTCCCCAGCTCACCTGGGTTGTGTGTGGGCCTTGCCTGCTGTGCTTTCTCCGCAGTGGCTACGGATGCTGGGATCATTACTACGAGTCAGACACCCTCTTGCATTCGTTTCAAGTCCTGGCTGCCCTTCTGGACTCTCCTGTCACTCAGGACATCATCTGTGATGTAGGGATGTAAGTGGCCGTGTGAGCGTTTGGAAGGGTGAGCTCTGAAACCAGGGGAGTTTGAGGGTGTGATCTCTCCAGCACCATCCTGCACTCAGGGATGTGGAACGTGTCCAGAGATATAGAAGGCATCATATTGAGATAGGGTTTTGTTCCTATGTCAGCCCTCTCCCCTTCATTCCCCCCATGGAGGCAGCCCCTGGAAATAGTCTTTGGAAGCTCTGGTGTGCACATGAGCATGCTTTGCACAACGGGGGGATCAAGGTTTATCCTGTTGCATGCAGTGAGCTTTATTGTTTCATGGGGAGTCTCGTGGATGATCTCACATCCTCCACATTGGTATGATGGTTCTGTGGGTGTAGCCCCCCCGGCAGGACTAGCACGTGCTGGTCTGGTGTGCGTCTACACCACACTTTGCACAGCTGGTTCCCTACCGCTGGGCTTCACACCATGTCCATTTCTGCTCCTGCAGCTCTGCTTTATCTGGTGTGGAGGTGGCACCTTTGCTGGCTTTTTCTAAGCATTTGCCTTGCATTTACTGTCCTGCCATTTGTTTGTCCTGCTATGACATTTGTTTAGTAGCGTCTCTTCCCAGCAGTGCATAGATGGGAGTTTGAACCCAATTTGCTCATACTGATGATCGTTGATATCACCCATGATGATATCCATTGAGCACTCCCCACCAGGCCGCCTGACATGTCCAGCGTGGGTCACCTCATCTGTTGCTGAAACAGCAGGTTGTTAGAAAGGTGTCATAAGCACAAAGCATCATGTCTGGTCCTAGGAAGGTGCCAGTTTGGAACAGCGAATGGATTTGTTCTGTGCTGGAGCCTGGACCCAGAAGCCTGTGATGTGCTGGACCATGAGCAAAAGAAGTCAGGCTGGAGAGGCACAGGGCAGGGGACTAAGGCAGAGAGCCTGCACCTGGGGCCATTAGGGTCTCACAGACTTAAGTGCGTGAGAGAGAGTTGAGGAGCAGCCAAGGGGTGGGCAGAGGGGCGGCAGCCATGGAAATCCTGAGAACATTCCAGGAGGAATGGGAAGAGCCCTGAGGACTAACTTTGTCCTTAATTGAGAAGAATATCTTCCAGCCTTAGAGTCTATGTCACCTCCCTGGCAGAACCATTTTGGCTCATTTTTAAGTTTGAGAATGCCGCAGGAAAGCCTTGCTATTCCCTTCAAGTATCTGAGGAAACTTCATATTAAAAGGGAACATTTGATTGCGGAGCTTCAGCTGTCTGTTTTCACAGCCAGGCAGACAGATGCACACCTCCCCTCTCCCCTGCAGGCCTGTGATGCACCGGAATGTCCGCTACAATTGCAGAGTGATATTTCTCAACAGGTGGGTGTCCCCTGCCCTTGGAGGGTGACAAGTACCTCTCCCTGGTGTTCAGCTGGAGGGTTGGGGTAGCCTGTGGTAGTACCCTAACAGCCCATGGTCAAAAGGCAGCTTTTGGAAATACCCGGCCCTTTCAGGGCTGAGGGACCAAGCAGGTAATTTGAGGGACTTTGTCTCTCTAGGTCTCAAGCACCATTGGCACAAGCAGCATCAGGTTTTAGGAAGAGAGAGACCCAGACAGTGGGGTTTAGGGATGCACGTCCTGTTGCCAGATTCCAATCTAGATGAAAGAGGTCTCCTTATAGACCTGGTAATCAACTGCCATCAGAGTGCACACCTGCAGGGTCTGAGCTGCTGTCATCATCAGTAGTCAGAGATGGATGTAACTGTGGTACCCGTTCTGCAGACAGAAAATGAAGCCCAGAGAGGGAAAGAGAGTGGCTCAGGGGTACCCTGTTTTCAAGCTGGCTCCATGTGGCATCATCGCTCTTTGGTGGTGGTGGATACTAGCAATGGCACGTGCATCTCAGAAGCTTGGTGTGAGCTTCCACATCCCCTGCCCGCAGGAGGATTCTTCTCATCAGACCCAAGATGGCCTTGGCAAATGAAGGCAACTATCGCGAGCTACGCTGGTTTACCCCATGGTTCAGGAGGCGGTGAGTTGCGGGTGCACAGGAGTGTGATTTGTGACTGGTCCTTGGATGTTGATTAAGCTCATTTGCCATGTTGAGCCTGGGTCCCACAGCATGGAAGGAGACGTGATAGACCCTGGGACCAGGTGCCATTTGGACATGGCTTTCTTGATGCTGTTGATTAAATTGTAGCCAAGTCCATTACAGATCACAGATTCTACCAGTCCTCAATCAGTGATCGGCAATCATTTTGAGGGAAATGTCTCTTCCATCTTGAATAATCCTGTGTATCAGGGTTTCTCACCTCCAGCCCAGTTGACACGTGGGGATGGATCATTGTTTTGTTACTGGGGGGACGTCCTGTGCATTGTAAGGCAGTTGGCAACATCCCTAATCTCCCCATAGGTGCCCACCAATGCGACAACCAAAAATGTCTCCAGACATTGCCAGAAATCCCATGAGGGGCAAAATTGCCCTTTCTTGAGAAATTCTGTTCTGTATTTTTACAGTTATTCCTACTTGTTTATTGTTGTTACTGTTGTAAATGGACCATTTAGCAGAATATTTTTAAGGGGCTAATATCTTTATGTAGGAAAATTTCTCATTTTTGTGTGTTGCTTCTGGAATCGACCACCTAACTAAACTCTTTTATTATGTCTAGTAGTTATTCTCTGGAGTTTCTTGGATTTTCTTTTAAGTAGAAATTATGGTCTCCTTTTGCTGGGCACAGTGGCTCACACCTGTAATACTAGCACTCTGGGAGGCTGAGGCAGGTGGATTGCTTGAGCTCATGAGTTTGAAACCAGCCTGAGCAAAAGCAAGATTCCGGTTTGACTAAAAATACAAAAACTGAGGCAAGAAGATTGCTTGAGCCCAAGTTGGAGGTTGCTGTGAACTATTATGCCATGGTATTCTACCCAGGGCGACAGCTTGAGACTCTGTCTCAAAAAAAAAAAAAAAATTATATATAATGTGTAACTAGTTTTATTTTTCCTTTCCAAGTTTACCCCTCTCAGTTCTTTTTCTTTTTTTTATTGTTAGGGATTCATTGAAAGTACAAAGAACCAGGTTACACTAATTGCATTTGTCAGGCGAAGCCCCTCTTATAAATATGCTCCTCCCCCAAGAGGTCAGTTTATTTTCTTAACTTGTATTAGCTAACATTTCTGGAATGATAGTCTACATAATCTCTATGACAAAATTCTTTTTTTTTTTTTAGAGACAGAGTCTCACTTTCTCACATGTAGTAGAGTACCTTGGCATCACAGCTCACAGCAACCTCCAGCTCTTGGGCTTAAGCGATTCTCTTGCCTGAGGCTCTTGGGTAGCTGGAACTACAGGCACCTGCCACAACGCCAGGCTGTTTTTTGTTGCAGTTTGGCCAGGGCTGGGTTCGAACCCACCACCCTCGGTTTGTGGGGCTGGCGCCCTACCCACTGAGCCATAGGCACCGTCTATGACAAAATTCTTTGGGACGTTTTGTCTTTTTCCTGACTTTACTTGGAAAGCTCTTTATGTTTCTGCATTGGGTTTCAGGTTTATACCCACCTCTAGCTACTTTTCTTTGAATTTTTTTTTTCAATTAATTGAGAATAGATGTTGAGTTTATGAAATGTCTTTTTAACATATATTAAGATGAATATAGATCATTTCTCAGAAAAAGCCATCTTTTGATCTCCTAGGCTGAGCTTCCATACTCGGGTTCCTTGGACTTTTACTTTACATGAGCCCTGATCTTCAGCCTGAAGACCAACCTTCCTACCCCCTTTCCCCAGCCTGGTGTTCTAGCACCTGGTGTCTCTCTGGTGCTGACTCTGGTCTCTACTGGGATGACGTGCATGGTCCAGGTATCAGCTGCTTCCAGCTGTGTCTCAGCCCACTCTAGAACCTGGTGCTGCCCACATGGATTGCTCCAGGCCTCTGCAGGGTGAGCAAGCTCAGTGCTCAATGTTAGTCCCTCCTGCAGGCACCAGCATTGTACTCTAGTCCTTTCTTCCCACAGAGGTGGAAAGGATGTCTCTCATCTCCCCTTACAGTTCATGTCCCATCTTTCAGGTAGAACTATTGGCAACTCTTAACTGCTGTTCACCCCTTTGCTGCTTTGGCTTTTCTAGAGATTCAGCAGTTCAGGCACCTGAATGACCCTCACAAGCTATAACTATTAAGATGCTGGAAATAGTGAATCTGCGTTTATATCTTATATCCAAATATGCACCACTGAGCTGGTATGAAAGTATGGAATAAATGGAGTCTATAAAAACAAAATGAAACCATGTACCCTAAGATAAGCAAGTGCAAAGCTGAATTTTTCCCTGAGGGCTTTTCTAAGCCTGGAGACCTTGAGGGTTAGTATTGACAACTTTGTGAAACTGTGAGAGACAGGAGATAATGCCCAAAGACCACACATACTCCAAGGTGGCAGGTTCACACCTGGCCCGGCCAGCTAAAAAAACAACACTGCGGCTCATCGCCTGTGGCTCAACCGGCTAAGGCACCAGCCACATACACTTGAGCTGGTGGGTTTGAATCCAGCCCGGACCCACTAAACAACAATGACAGTTGCAACCAAAAAATAGCTGGGCACTGTGGTGGGCGCCTGTGGTCCCAGCAACTTGGGAGGCTGAGATAGGAGACTAGCTTGAGCCCAGGAGTTGGAGGTTGCTGTGAGCTGTGATGCTACAGCACTCTACCCAGGGCAACAGCTTGAGGCTCTGTCTCAAAAAAAGAAAACAACACTGCAACTACAACAACAACAACAAAAAAAAAATAGCCAGACGTTGTGGCTGGCACCTGTAGTCCCAAGTACTTAGGAGGTTGAGTTAAGAGAATCACTTAAGCCCAAAAAAAGTTTGAGGTTGCAGTGAGCTGTGATGCCACAGCTCTTTACCCAGGGCAACAACTTGAGACTCTGTCTCAAAAAAAAAAAAAAAGGATAGAAAGAAAATGTAAGAAGAGGCTCAGTGCCTGTAGCTCAGTGGCTAGGATGCTAGCCACATACACTGGAACTGGTGGGGTCAGATCCAGCCCGGGCCTGCCAAACAATAATGACAACTACAACAACAAGATAGCCAGGCATTGTGGCAGGCGCCTGTAGTCCCAGCTACTCAGGAGGCTGAGGCAAGAGGATCGCTTAAGCCCAGGAGTTTGAGATTGCTGTGAGCTATGGTGCCATGGCCCTCTACCCAGGGGTGACAAAGTGAGACTCTGTCTCAAAAACAAAAAAGAAACCTGACAAGAGTACCCAAGAAAAAAGAAGAAAAAGCATCTATGACAATACTAGGGATAATTAAAGAAATGTCACCAGAGGATACAGAGAATAAATAGATAAAGGGAGGATGAAAGCTGGTATATTCCAATAAATAGGAAAACTCAGATTAAATGAATACTTCCTTAAAAAATATGGCTGCCTGAGGGGGTAGAGCAATGAAGGACCAGAAGGATTGTTCAGGTAAGTTCTCCTAGAATGACTGGGGAAAAAGAGAAAACCCAGCTATACTTGGCATGGGGACCTCACCCAGAGTCATACCTCAGGGAGCACAGTGAGGAGGTAGTGAGCGGGATGTAGCCTATAATACAGAGCAGTAGAAATCTGATGAATTAGGCAAGTGATTATGACTGGCTGGGATCAGCTGGCCCCCATGGAGGTCCAGAATGGGAGGAAGTCTTTCTGGAGTTTTCAGTTGTTGGGGGAAGCTGTGCATTGAGTGGAAAGCTTGGAAGAGTGGGCAGACTCAAACAGTATACAGCAATTAAATTTGAATGCTGGTTGGAGTGGATTTGCCATAGGTTTGGTGACTAGTAAGGCAGACATACTGAGAAGGTCTCAGCAGCCAGGGGGCTGACATTGTGGGAAGGTCACAAGACGGTCTTAGCAGGGTCCTAAAACATAGCCATCTTAATTCCACCTGCCACGATCAGAACTCCATTCTTGAGACTAGCTGAGGGACTCCTGCACCCCCACGGGAACTGGAGTCAGGGGACACTGTGAGACCTGCCCCTGAAGGATTCTTGTGAGCTTTAAAATCCCAACCCAGCAGGGTCTGAATGCTTAGGAAATAATCAGGCGATCACCAGAGGCAACTAAGTTTGGAATAAGAACCATAGAGATTACTGGCTGTGCTCTCTGTCTCCTAAAACACCACAGCACTGCCTGGTGACATATTGCAACTTATTGTCATCAAGAGCGGGGACTTCTGTTTATTTGGCCATGAGAAAGAGTTGGGTTTTTCCCAGGCTTAGGCCACTTCAAGACATAAGCTCTGAGACAAGGTAATTTGAAGCAAAGGAGGCAGTGAGAAGGAAAAAGGAGGATAAGGAAGTGAACAAGAAAAAAGAACACATGAGGAGGAACCAACAAAAAATTCGGGAACATGAAAAACCAAAACAGAGGAACTCCCCCAAGGGACCATGAGGCAGCTACTGCAGAACACTCCACCTGTAAAGAATTAGTGGACTTGACAGAAAGAGAATTTAAAATATGGATGATAAAGACAATAAAAGGAATGGACAAGAAAATGGAAAGACAGAACCAAAAGTCAGCTGAGAAGTATGTAGAATATAGAAAGGAAATGGCGGAGCTTAAGGAAATGAAGGAGACAATCAGGGAATGTAAAGATGCAGCAGAAAGTATCACAAATGGGTTAGACCACGGAGAAGAAAGAACCTCAGAGCTAGAGGATAAAGTTTTTGAGTTAACCCAGGTAGTTAAAGAGATAGAAAAGATAAGAGAGAAAGAAGAACAGGCACTTATATGAGATTCCATGAAGTGTTAAACATATGAATAATAGGGATTTCTGAGGGAGAAAAATATTGTCCCAAAGGAATGGAAGCCGTACTGGAGGCTATCATAAATGAAAACTTCCCAAATTTTACTAAAGACCCCAACACACTCTTTTCAGATGGATATTGAACCCCAGCTCATCTCAACTCAATCAGAGCCTCCCTAAGACATATTGTAATGAACCTGTCCAAAATCAAGATGAAAGAAAAAATTCTGCAAGCAGCCAGGAGTAAGTGCCAACTGACTTACAAAGGCACAACCACTAGGATGACAAAGGCACAGCCACTAGGTTTTCAACTGAAACCTTCCAAGCCAGAAGAGTATGGTCATCCACCTTCAACATTCTTAAACAAAATAATTTTTCAGCCCAGAATTCTATATCCTGCTAAACTAAGCTTCAAAATTGATGGATCTTGGCTCGGTGCTGGTGGCTCAAGCGGCTAAGGCACCAGCCACATATACCTAAGCTGGCAGGTTCAAATCCAGCCCAGGCCTGCCAAACAACAATGATGGCTGCAACCAAAAAATAGCTGGGTGTTATGGCAGGCACCTGTAGTCCTAGCTACCTGAGAGGTGGAGGCAGGAGAATCACTTGAGTCCAGGAGTTGGAGATTGCTGTGAGCTGTGATGCCATGGCACTCTACCCAGGGTAACAGCTTGAGGCTCTGTCTCAAAAAAAAAAAAAAAGTTTATGGATCTTTTGCAGATACAGAAGCACTGAGGAAATTTACCACAAGACCAACTCTACAGGAAATACTTAGACCTATTGTCAACACTGACCACCACAATGGACCACTAGTAAATACTCAGAAGCTAAAGGTCAAAACTTAGCACGATGCCCAAAGGATAAAGCTACATAACAAACTTTCACAAAATAAGATGAATAGAACTCCACCACACTTACCAATTCTCTCAATACATGTCAATAGACTGAATTCACCACTGAAGAGGCATAGGCTGGCCGATTGGATAAAAGAGCACAAGCCATCCATATGCTGTCTCCAGGAGACACACCTCGCCTTGAAGGACAAATCAAGACTCAGGGTTAAGGGATGGAAAACAGTATTTTAAGTAAATGGAAATCAGAAGAAAGGAGGGGTGACATTCTTATTTTCAGATACAAGCAGATTTAAGGCAACTAAAGTTAAGAAAGACAAAAATGGACACTTTATACTGGTCAAAGAAATACAAAAGAAAGACATTTCAATTTTAAATATTTATGCATCCAACTGAAATCTCCCAGATTTATGAAACAGACCTTGATGGGTCTGAGCAATATGATATCCCATAACACCATAATAGTCGGGGACTTAAATACCCATGTGACAGAACTGGACAGATCGTCTAAACAGAACCTAAACAAAGATACAGAGGACTTAAATGTGACCCTAAAACAAATGGGATTAATAGACATATACAGAGCACATCCCCCCAAAGCTAAAGAATAGACATTTTTCTCATCAGCCCATGGTATGTACTCCAAAATCAACCACATCGTGGGACACAAATCAAACCTTAGCAAAAATAAAAGAATAGAAATTACACCTTGTATCTTCTCAGACCACAAGGCAATAAAGATGAAACTAAACTTCAACAAAAATGTTTATCCCCACACTGACTTGGAAATTAAACAACCTTATGAGGAAAGATAGTTGGGTTCAGGAAGAAGTCAAAGAAAAAAATTATTAAATTCCTCAAACATAACAACAATGAAGACACAAGTTACCAGAACCTGTGGGATACAGCAAAAGCAGTCTTAAGAGAAATTTATCACATTAGCTGCCTACATTTGAAAAACAGAAAGAGAGTACATCAACAAACTCACAAACCGTCTTATGTAATTGGAAAAAGAACAATCTAATCCCAAACCCAGGAGAAGAAAAGAAATAACCAAAATTAAATCAATGAAATTGAAAACAAGAATCATTCAGAAAATTAATGAAACAAAAGCTGGTTTTTCAAACAAATAAATAAAATTGATAACCTTTGGCCAGATTAAAAGAAACGGAAAAGTAAAATCTCGAATAACCTCAATCAGAAACTATAAAGAGGGGGAGAGGGGAGGAGAGAGGGAGATGGGGGGGGTCATGGTGGAACACATTCTTCTTAATAAAACTTCACAAGAATGGAGAAA